TTACCAAGCCTGGCACATATCTCTGGATCGCAGCAAGCATTGCAGCGTGACCAACTGCTGTGACCTGTTTGACATAAGTATACTTATTAGATTAGTTCATAGACTCAGACATATTGAAAATGTTAATGGTAAATGTAAATGTTACAGTGGTTGGTGTTACGGGATTTTGTATAAAGAGCAACAGTCAATGATCAGTATAAAGTTGTAGTGAACAGAAACACTTTTATGAGGATGAACAACCAATGCGAATGGAAATATGATAATAACGAATTTGATAAGGTATGTTTTTACTCACAGGAAGAAGCATAAGAACACCAATGGGAACAACTGATGCTAAGTCAGTCATGGTTCTACGCAGGGCTTTCTTTTCTTTCTCTGTTAATTCATCTCCTACTAGAGACCTCCGAAGTAGCTCCATAGCAGCAGCGGAATCAAACGCAAGAAGCTGGGTACCCTGCCACACGTCCTGTCAAAATATCACAGTAAAGTGAAATGTTAGTTACTAAGTCATTAAGTAGAAAAGTAGTGAAGGAAAAAGACGATTATATAAAAGAAGGTGCATGTGCCATGAGGCTTGGAATGACATTCATACTGTGGTTGTTTCTTTAAGTTGGTCAAGAGTTTTCTCAATGACGTTTTCCTTCTTTGTGCTCTGAACCAACTGCACACCTTTCATACTACTGCTTGACTTAGGAGGATCTTCAGAGGTTCTTCCCTGCAGAACATGTCAAATTGATTTTCAGGAAACAAAGAGATAAGAGTTTGTACTCGTGAGACGATAGACGCGAAAAAAATATTCAATTAACTTAAAGGGAGTTGATCATCTGCTACCAAGTTGAAAACTTTAACAGTGAAAGAAAGAACAGAGCATAATATATTTGGACTAAATTTTTCATTGAACTTGATGCTAATAAATAATAACACAGAGATAGGGGAAAGAGAGTAAAAGAAATCACCACTATAAATGTAGGATCAACTGAGATAAGACCATTAACAACCTCCATTTATAAGCAAGGTAGTATGTGGCATCGACATACCATACAGGTTTTGGGTTGGAAATGAATTGATACTAAGACAAATCAGCTTAAATTCTTTTCAAATCATGGGTTGACTTCATCCATATAAGTTTGCATGGGAAGGGTTCCCATAGGCGAGCCACTACTTAATCTAACTTAAATCCACATCCACCGTAAACAGGTCATTCTCCTTTTCCTTTGGTTATACGTACTTGTTTAAAATCGAGCAAATACATGCATTACTGAAACTAACTATTGAATATTTACTAATTGTGTAGAATCAAATCAAACATCTTGCAGCAAAGTCTGGTTGCACTTACTAACCTCTTCATTTACTGACTCATCTGTACTTCCTTGGACCCGCTTCTCCAGCTCTATCAGTTCATTCCTTAGAAGTTCAAACCGATAGATCTCATTGGGTTCGGAATCCATGCTATCTACGTTTTCACTGGATCCCTCAATATATTCATCTTCCTGCAAATTGTAAAAACTCCTGAAACCTTTTACCAGAATAAAAACTGAAAATGATTGGATTAAACACAGGATCTTCTCACTGAAGATCTAAAATATGCTTCACGATGCACATAAAATAAGAAATTAAAGCATACCAATGACTTGGGGGCAGGCTTCCTCCTTGGAGGGCGCCCAAAGAAACCCCAGAATCCACGATTCCTAGTAATGTAGATGCAAAACAAAAAAATAAGTTTCTGCAACCAGAAGAGAACAAAGGAGAACCTACATTTATAACTCAAACACACAAGAAATTATTAACTAAAAGAGCATGCAACATACTCTGTGCCTTGATCTACAGAATTATTTAAATTCTTTGCGCCTTTTCCTTTTAAATTCTGCCTTTGTTCCTCAGAGGACTCCTGAGAGTCACTGTCACCACCTCCCTGAGTGAGCCATATGACGTTTTAGTCTTCCACACATGTTAAAGAAAACTAACTGCACTCTTCAATTATTTATTTCTCATATTATAAGCACCAATTAAGATTGGGGTATGCTTTGGTCAGACTAGTAAACTCAAGCGGCAGCACTATGATATCAATCCTAACTGCATCAAAGGAAAAGTCTGCAATTACAACTAAATACCTCTTGCATGGAAGCTGCTTTGGCTCTGAAAGAAGCCTCTAAAAATCCAGCCTCTTTCTTTAGCTTCCTTATCTTCTCTAGGTCAGAGCAAGCGGCTTTTATTTGTTCCTTTCCAGAGGATGAGCTTGATGCATTCAACTGCTGTAGCAAGCTTTCCAGTCTCACTAGAGCTTCATCTACACTCTCTAGAGCCTGATAAGTAAGTGCTGTTAGCATCTATCTTACATTTGATAGTCACGGAGTTCTAAAAAAAATCTGGAATCAGATAGTGTACGGAAAAGTGAAGTGGTTTTTCATGACTAATTCATGCAATACCTACCTTGTCAAATGAGTTTGACTCTCTATCAGTTGACAATGCATTCATGTCAAAACCTGCTTCTGCTACTGCCAAACTGCATCACACATTATCCAATTGCACATGGCCAAATTACTTGATAGTTAATTATAAGGCATGCTATATAGCAAGGATGCACAAGAAAGTGCACAGAGATGGATATATGAAGCATTCAAAGATGAATACACGACGCGTCTTTCTACACAATTTATCGCTCTTCATTAGCTTACCTTGATATCCCCAGTTCTTCCTTGCACTGAATTAACTTGTTGTGCCTAAAAATCGAGATTAAAAATCAATATGATTGTCAATTAATTCGTTTATTATCCAAAAATTTGATAAACAACAAGTTAGATACCCCTTGGATAGGAATTTTGCTGCCTTGACATTAGAAGGATTCTCTGGCCATTTGCTGTACTTAATAAAGCTCTGTAGCCAATAAGAGCAAACATTCAATATTTGAGGAAGGGCATCGTAATTAGGTGGTCCTTCTTGTCTGCTTTTATGCCCATGTGCTTGTTTGGCTGGCTGAGGGTCCTTTGGATAGAAAGGAAGCCACTCTAGTTCTTCACAGACAACCTACGCTATGAATTTCCATGATAAGATTTCAAAATTGTTAAAAGGGTTCGACCAATGATGGTATGATTTATGCCTACCTCTACATACAACTGGTATGAACTGATGGCTGAAAGTTGAGGATATTGCAAGAGACTGCCCCCAATGAAGTGCCTGAGTTAAGAAGATAGCGAGTTTGAGTGGTAGGGTGGATTGAATGTTAGGGCACGCAAACAGAAGAAAAGCAATGATTCACCTGACAAGGTCTTCCACAGGATTCTCCAGAGAATGAAAACCATTTGCAGCTAAAAAAGACTGGGTGCTCCTGCCTAAGGCAATGAAGAATCCAAAAATAGCTAAATCTCTTTCCAAAACCTGCAAGGCATCAGAAATAGGTCATAAAAAACTCCCAAGATATTTACATTCAAGGACTCAACCACATTTTTTTACTGCACACTTTAACAATCTAAACACACTATGAGTCGTTATAAACTAAAATAAAAACGGACTTATGTTTTGATAAGTGCCACCAAATGAAGACCCCAGATAGTATCACTTACATTTGCAAACTGTTTCTGCCACGTTCTTACATTCTAAACAACACTTACAACAGACAACACAGTAAATGATATATCCAACGAATTCAACATGAAATTGGCTGTCCCAAATGAATCCAGACGAGCAACGACGTTCCCTATACTTGCACATAGTTCTTGAACATTTTTAAATACTAAAATGAGCTCACATGCACAAAAGATGCTAAAAGCTCCTTAGATATGACCTCTGTGAGTCTCTATTCATTACCTCGATACTTTCAGACGTTGTCAATCTTGACCATATTTTCTCCCGATCAATAGCCCGCAGCAGTTGGTTCTGTATAAGATCAACCCAGAAGACAACCTCATCTGTAGAACAGTCACTTTTTACTCTGCATGCCGCTGCCCGGGGTCCAAGATGAACAAGAAATTCTCTGCGTAGACCAAGGCTTTTCATTGAATGATAGGCCGGGGGGAGTGGAACAAAGTCAACAAATTTGTCCATCAATCTTCCTGTTGTATCTGGAATCATCGAAAAGAAGGGCGGGCACGAAAGTTTTGTCGGGCCAAGTTTTGTGACTGCTGCGATGCAATTCAGCACAAGCATGAGAAGTGACACTTCAATCTCATTGCTTGCAGCTGAGGACTTGCCTTTGGCATAGCTGAAATGAAACATAAAGCATCATAACTTTCCAAAACGTCACAGTCAAACAAGCATTTCACAGAACTTGCTAATATGAAGAGAGTCAAAAGAAATGACATACGCAGAAGTGGCAGCAACAAATCGTTGGTCCCCCTCAAAACAATTCACAAAAGATGTCACCACAGAAGGAACTTGGTCAGACCAAAACCAATCATTGGCTTCAGGGTGACTGGAAGATAGTTTCTCCCGCATCATACTATCAAGGGGAGCAGCTTGGCGTGATAAACTGCATGATGTGATTATTTAAACATTAAAAGTTAGTATAATCATGAAATAACAACAAGGGATTATTAGTTAGACAGCAACTGCTAGTTCTGGAAAGATTTCATTGGTGGTGAAAGGAAACTCTTTGAAAGACTAAATGGGAATAAATATCAAATGAACACCACATAGAACTCAAACTAATACTTTGTTGCATTCTTTTTAAAGGCAAGACCGAAAAATATACTAGTTTTAACTGTTTAAGATAAGCTATCTCGAGATTCAGCCAGTAACGATTAGGTCAATGGAGGAGATGAGTTGGAAAGCCAAACAGCTAAAGTTCAAGTCATATATTTCTCTGGATAAAGCTGTGTAAATAAACACAAATACAACAAACTGTTGAAAATTCCAATAACGCTGAATGCCATAGTTCTTAAGCATAAAGTAAGTCGCGCAGTACCTCCTTTGCACAAAGATATTAAGATCCTCGTCTCTGTTGTTTCCTCTAGATGAAACCTCATTTGCAGCTTGCAGTAAGGAATACACGGAAGCCTGAGAATGATGAACCAAAGATGAATTCAGCTATTATAACTACACATCTGACAAGAGTACTTCATGCAAACGAAATGTGCAATGGCAAGAGAATGTTTCTTCCACAAATATACATCTGTCCTGATAATATTACTAGTAACTAACTTTCAAATCCAGTTGCATACTGCCCTATCATGGTACCACGGGGGTG